CAACACCCGAGTGAGGTCTTCTCATCTAGAATTCCCCTCGATTTACTTTACTTGCTTGTTTTCATTTGTAGTTCTCATAGTTTTAAACCCAAAAAACCATTTTGCTAGATAACAACTTAAGTGATTGAAGTATGGGTACATGGTCCGGCCCACGTTGACAATTTAAATACTTGCCCTATACTGCAGCCGTCTAGGGTTTAAAAACTTGGGCTCTAGTCGGGACTAATTCGTGGTGTAGTTTCGTGCGAGTCATTTAGCGAGCGATATATGTACAAAAATTGCTCTTGCTCACCTAATCAGGGTCAACCGCGCATAAAAACTGCAGTTGGAACCCCAACCAAGTGCAAATGTGAAAAACAAAAGAAAAAGAAACAAATAACAAGGAAAAGAGGTTCCAACAAGTGAAATGGAAAGAAAGAGCACCCGATACGGAGAGTCCCATGTTGTTGTGTTATGTGAATGAGTCTCTTTGTCCATGAATTGTCTGACCTAGGTCCACTGCTTCACATGATCCTGGTGTGAGTCTAGTACTCTAATTGAGGGGAATAGGGAATATCTTAGAAAACCGGTTGACCTCGTAAGTTGCTAAATGATCTAGGAAGTCCTCTATCGATGATAAGGTTTGCATGGTGCTGTAGAGGTCCGGAGTGGTTCCGATTCTTAGGGATGATATGACAGGAGTTACTCTTAAACGTCGGATTGTGGCGGTTTGAGTCATGTTTGCTTGGGGACAAACAAACGGTGAAGTGTGGGGGGATTTGATAGGCCGTTATTTGCACATATTTTGGCCACCATTATTGAACCCTTTGAGAGTCGATTCTCGTGTATTAAATCGATTTCACGCTAGGTTGTGCATTTATGTCAGATTTCAGGACTTGCCGCGGAAAGAGAGGCTTGGATGCGAGTTTTGGGTCGAAAATAAGGAGTTGGCGTCAAAAAGGAGCTAGAAGGCAAAATACCCAGTCTGGTCACACAAATACCCGACCGGTTATATTCGCCTAGGAAACCGGGTATATGGGCTGAAATACTCAGAGAAGTAGAGGGGGGCCCAGTCAGGAGCCCAAAATACCCGACTAAGTATTTCCTCAAGAGGTCGGGTATTTCTGTAGTCTGCTACGCGCTGTTTCACTAATACCCGGCCGGTTCCATAAATACCCGACCGGATATTTTGGCCGGGTGTTGGGAGCTGCAGCTATTTAAAGGAAATTTAGGGTTTGTTTGGCAATGAATTCAAGCTTTAGAGAAAGAAAGTGAAACCTAGAGAGAGAAAGCAATGAACTAAACCTCTGAAGTGACTTAGATCGAGTTTTGAAGCAATTGGAGCTCGATTGAGGTTCAGAAGTGCCCATTGACAACCAGAAGCTGATTTCTCTTTTCTCTCTATGGAGTAAACTCTCTCTCTCTCATCTGGGTATGAAGAACCCTAGATTTATATGTTAGGTTTGGTTGTATGAACCCAAGTACATTATCTTTTGACATTGATTATATTCAATTGAGGCATGATTTTCAGAATTGCATGAATCCTGATCAAATTCCTGTAGTTTCTGCTTTGACCTAGAAAGAGAATATCTGCCTAGGTTGATAGAGCACCCTTAATTGAAGGTGGAGAATTGAATACTTTAGTCGAGGTGTCAATTCTCTGCTCTGTACTGGATTTACTCCAGTAGAGGAGGTTTTGCATGTTAGGGCCTTAGTTGTTTACTCCGGTGGAGGTTAGTCGCTCGCCGGGTATTCAGATTGAGAGGGTCTGGAGACCTTTAGTCGAGACTTCAGACTGAATAAGAACCTACCGCAGTATAATTGTCATTAAATCTGAACTTGGTGAACTATAACCTGATTTAACTGCAATCTACGGGGAACCATATCTGGGCGAACTCTCTCAAACTTGAACCACAACCTTTACTGCTTTGTGTTTGTTTAGTTTAGTTACAACTTGGATACCGTTTAACAAGTAGATAACGAGAATTCACGGAGTATTCATCATATCTAGGATCTGGGTTGACAAATAAAGCTTAACCCGCTATACTACACATTAGTAGGTGGTTACACTTGGCCACTTTCTAGTGTGACGGTACAGGCGAGTCATTCCTAGTTTGAACAGAAAAATGAAGAATGAGAGAAGGTCGAAGGTCGGAATTTGGAGGAGGGGATAGGGGTGCGGGTTTGCAAGGTATGTATCCCTTCACTTTGGGTTGTTGGATTTGGGGTCAATTAAAAAATCAAAACAGAAACAACCCGATTTGGCGTACAATGGACTAAAATGGAAGAAAAATATTGTTCTAGGAGTCTATTGGTAGTTTTATTTAACATTAATCACTAATAAATAAATTATTTAATAAAATTTAATCTCGGCCGTCGAGATCACACGTACGGTCAAGATCGCCCATGGTATGGAATAACCCAGATTTTTCCCGGATACAATAGAAGCCACCATAGATATATATGGCAAAGGCTAGCGTACGACTGGCGTACGTTGTACTGCTGTGTTCACACTTAGTTTTTGCAATTCAATATATTTTGATGAATCAGAACCGTCAGTTATTATTTTTTAGATTAAATGAATCTTGTGGTTTGGGTTAGAGAATTAGGGACTGGGGCTCACCCATTAGAGGTTAGGGTATAGTATCATACCCCAAACTTTGATTAATTCGTGCTCTAAATAGTAATATAATTTATATTTTCTTCCAAATATAGTAAAACTTGATACTCCTGTCCATAAACTAACTAAAACACATTATGTCAGCAAACCACATAAATATGCATGTTAATTTAATTTTTGTCGATTTTCTGTTTCGTTACGGATCTTTGTTAACTTATGGTTATTAGTTGTTGTTTGCGTAATGGAGAGACATGTACGTGCAAAATCCTAAGAAGTTTCATGGCTTTTGTACTAGCATCCTCCACTTAGCTCATCGGCAAAATAAGGATGATTAACTAAAAGAATTTGACAAGTGACGGGCTTCCGAAAAAAACATCCAAAAATTATCCCATGCCGCTGCTGAGCACGGCTCATAACTAGTAGTAATTAAGCAGTTACTCTTTATAAATCCAAATCCTACAAAGTTTGAGGACTCGGGAAAATACCAAAGGGCCAAGAGCTAGTTGTTGATAGAAGATCCTCCAGCCGCTGGATGCTTTTGTATTGAGTCTATTAACATGTAATGTAACCCTTGTAGCTAGTAAATGAAGGAAGCTTCATTTTACCTAGCTAAAACTAAAGTTAACAATTCATTTTCTGTTGATATAGTATTCATGGATGTGAAAGATTCACTTTCTAATCTAAAGCTTGTTCTTGATGTAACTCAAATCTGAAAAGATTCTTTCAACATTTTTTGTTTACCGATTAAAGCAATACAACATTGAGAAGCTAAAAATAAAGTTAACAATTCATTTTCTAGTGAAGTGAATAAATTTGGTTTGCCTAAAACTGGTAAACTCGATCCAGAAGAGAATGGGCACCAGAGAGATCCCAATTAGTGGGTTGCAACTTGCAACCTACATTTACATTTTCATGGATGCATTCATGGATAGATCCAGCGTGGAGGATATTGGAAAGGCGGGAAGAGGAGTCCTCAAGAATTGAAATATGAGCTGGAGGCCTTATTAACCACTTGGTGGGTGACACGTCAGAAAGGAGCTTGGGTGGGCCCATGATAGGCTAGGAATAGTACCCTCCAAATTAAGGCCACCTTGGCAAGGAGCTATTTAACTTGAACGAAATTCAACCAATTTTGGTAAACAAATACCAATCAGTAATTTTGGAATCTACTTGTATTATTGTATTCTTTTAATACTTAATTTGGAGTGGTGAGAGGATTGGCAACAACCCTTATCTCTACCAAGCATGAATGTCCAGAAAAACGAGAAAAAAGGAAAAGCTGCAGGTTTGGATTATGTGCGTATGTTCACCCTAAAAGAAAATTTCGAAACATAGAAGATATAAAGTGTAGCCCAATATTCATAGGAGGCCAACTGGAAAAGCAGTGCATTTGTGCAAATCAGCAATACCGATTCTCTTTATCATTTTGATTTCTTCAAGCAATCATGGACCTTGCTCGATTTACAATTAGGAAATCTGTATTATTAATAAATTCTGGTTTCAGTATAAAAAAACTCACATGTTAGAATGGTAATATATGAAATGCTTCTAAGAGGACTTGGCTTAAAATCTTAGCTATCGACACGAGGAACAAAATTCATTGTAACCATAACAGTAGTTTAAAAAAAGTTTAATTTCGATCTTACTATAAGTTGATCCTAATAATTTCCTTACTTTTTCGAAACATTCAGAATTAAGATAGATCTCTATGACTCTTTTCACAGGTGGGGAGCATGATAAGTTCAAACTCTGAACCGCTGATGGTTGTTGATATAGTATCATATATATTAGTGGTTTTGATCGATATTTTTATATTTGAATCTTAATATGCTTCAATATTGTTAATAGTCAATTTTAAGCATATAGGATAACAAGCTTGTTTGAACTCGAAGCTCATTAATTTGACTCTGATATGAGCGGAAATGCAAGCACACCGTATACGATTTATTTTCAAAATCAACTTAAAGTTTTTGAAATGAGCACTTGGTCGATAGAGTTTGAGCTAGCTAGCTAGCGCCTGGGTTGTGCATCTTAGATTTTAGAACTTTTAATTACACGTTTTTCAAATTTTGATGTGTGCAATGAGATTAGGAGGAAAAGGAAAACCAAAAAAGAGAGAAAAAAACAGACCCACTCGTATACTACTACGCGGTGTGGATGTTACTTATTAGTTCGGCCAGACCCCAAAAGGAAACAAAATAAAGAAACAGAAAGCAAAGTAAAGGCAAAAAACAAAGCAAACCATTATTTCCATCCTCCTACTGTAGACGCATAATCTCATACATGTCTTTGATTGCTCCACCGATACAACTTGGAGTCTGTAGTGGCAAATTGGTCCCTCTCTTCCCAATCTCACCTTCCTTCACTATATATAAACCCCTCAGCCCCATTTCCAACAAATCGCAACCCACCAAAATACACAGAGAAACAGCTTTGGTTCAAACCAAAAAATGGCGGTGCACTTCTCTCTGATGTTCCTTTTCGGGCTTCTAGGCAACGCAATCTCGTGCATGGTGTGCTTGGCCCCGCTGCCGACGTTCTACCAGATATGGAAGAAGAAGACCAGCCAAGGCTTCCAGTCAATCCCTTACGTCATCGGCCTCTTCAGCGCCATGCTGTGGCTCTTCTACGCGCTGTTCGCCAAGGACGCCATGCTCCTCATCACCATCAACGTCTTCACCTTCTTCATGCAGACGTTCTACATCGCTGTCTACCTCTTCTACGCCACAAGGAACGACAGGAGGACCACGTTGAAGCTGCTCTCCTTCTTCAACGTCGTCGGGTTCGGAGCAATCTGTAGCTTCACTCTGGCATTCACCCACGGCGTAGTTCGTGTTCAGGTCCTGGGGTGGATCTGCATGGTCTTCTCCCTCTGCGTCTTCGTCGCCCCTCTTGGCATCGTAGTACGTTCATCACCTTTTCACAAAACAAAACAAAAAACAAAAAAAATTCGTCGCTCGACTACTTTTTTTTTAATTATGTATCATACTCTTTTTTTTTTTTTTTTTTTTTAACGTTGTTGTGCAGAGGAAAGTGATAAAAACGAAGAGCGTGGAGTTCATGCCGATTTCGCTCTCTTTCTTTCTGACTCTGAGCGCAGTCATGTGGTTTATGTATGGCTTCCTCAAGAAAGACCCTTACGTCGCTGTAAGTAGCTAGCTAGTAGTCCACTTATTCTTCTTCATCATGATGATTCGAAATACCCTAATAGTAGTAATAATGGTAACTAAATATTAAGGGTTTTCCCCCTTGTTTGACAGGTGCCAAACATTTTGGGATTCACGTTCGGGATCCTGCAGATGATTTTGTACTTGATCTACCGGAAAACCACTCCTGATTCAGCTGCTGCTGCTCTTCCAGTGAAGAAGGAGGCGGATGCGGCGAAGGTGATGGTGATCGACATGGCAAAGCTAGGGGAGCAGCAGCAGCAGCAGCAGGCTAACCAGAACAACCAGGTGTTCCCAGTTGACGACCCAGCTGCTGCAGTTCCGCGACAAGAGGAGCAGAGGAAGGAACAACTGAACAACATGAAGAAAGACGTGAGCTTCACCAATGGCATTGCGGTGGTGTAAACAAAGACGAAATTTTGACGACGATGGACGAGCCCATTAATTAAATTGAAGACAATTTGATGACCACAGCCTGCACAAGAAAATAATGATGGAATTAGAAGAATGTTATTGTTAATCATTTACATGTTTGTATTGGGAGGGTAACTGACCTACGTACTTTAAGTACGATGCACTTGTTTCCTTTTGGCTTTGCATTATTGTAATAATAATGTAATCTTTTCCCATAAAATTTGTGGGGTTTCCTATGACTCACTTCCTTCATCTGTTTACTGAAGAATTTTACAATTCTTTAAAGCATTGTTGCTTTAAATTTTTGCCGTTATGGTACGACTAATTGAAGTTGTACTATCAAAGTTATGTTATACAACTTCAGGTTGTATCTATGCTCTTTTCTACAAATCCATTTATGATATAAATTCCTTTATACTACTACAACTTTAAGTTGTACATTAAAACACCAAATGTTTTAAAGCATAATAAAAGTGCTCATACCTACATATCAAACTTTTACATTCTTGATCTATTTATCATAAAAATTGCTAGTAACATAAGTACGGTATAAAACTGTGTAGTCGCGACGACGTCATTTATGTTTGATCCGCTTGTTTGCCATATATATGGTGCCTTCTATCCTACGTTGAGCAGTGACGGATCCAAAAAATTTAAATAGGGGTGTCCTCTAAAAAAATTTAAAAATTAAATAATTCTTAAATAAGAAATTACCCAATTAATATTCAACAAAAAAAACTGATTAATACAATTTACAACAAAAGTCCACGACGCGTTTTCATATTCTTATTTTTTTTTTTTTTGTAACATGCACAATATGTCTGCAGTGCACAACAAATCTCTTTCAATATATCATACACGACAATCATTCATGAACTTATCTCCTATTCTAATTTGAAATTTGTTCTTGATGTAACTAAAAGCTAAAAAAGGTACTTTCAACACTTTTTGTTTACCGGTTAAAGCAATACAACATTGAGAAGCAAATAGATCCATGGATATGAAAGATTCACTTTTGTCTTTACCATCAACTGAGATAATTAATTAGTTCCATTTTATCCATGGAGTAACTCACCATTCTTAGCATATATAATTATAATAATTCTCAAAGTCCCGTACAAGAAAAGAGTCAAATAGGTGAACAAACTCTTTAGGATAAACTCGAGTAAGGCTTACAAGATTGTTCTTGTCAAAAGCAGCAAACTCATTCTTTGGGCTATCAACTCATCAAAGAGGTTATTCAACTCTTGCACTTGTATATCAAGAAAAGAGTACAAGGGGCTTTTCGCTTTCGTTGGTTTCGGGAAAGATAGGAATGTCCTGATAGGCGATAATTAATTTTTAGGTGTTTGGTAAATTTAGGATTAAGAAATTAAATGTGTTAAAATTACAAAAACAAATTGGTTATAATCAAGTGGAAAACATGTATAGTAACAAGTTTTGAGAAACATAACCAAATCCATTGTGTATAATATAACTATTAGTTTTTCGCCGGCCTAGTGCCCAGAGAATTTTATTTTATCATTTATATGTTTAAAATCTTTTGAATCTTCTAGATTTGTTATACTCTCATTTCATATGTGAGTATGCAATTTGTCTATATTAGAATTTCTCAACACTTAGCACACTCATCTTTGATGCTTTGAATTTATAATCACAAATCATACCATGAAAGTTATAACCTCCCATTTGGTATAGTAGATCAAGATTTTCTAACTAGGATACTCAAATTTATTATGTTATTACAACACATAACAATTTTTTATTCTCGAGTCAAGACAAACTCTCAACCAATTACTTGAGAGATACTTAATTACTGGATAAATTTTGTTTATCCCAAGTGAATCTTCACACACAACGTACCTCTTACGATGATCAAATTTTCTAATATTTACTAATTTTCATGTGAGTGTTCATAAAGTCTCGGTTGAGTTGTGTCAAAACTTGTCGATCAGTACACTCAACTTTCGTATCTTATACAATACGTATAAATTGCTAATTCTTGAAATTTGACTAAACTTCAACCCATGATTGTTGTCTTCATGTTGGCTTAAAATTTCAATTCAAGACACTCACACACACTATCAATGAATCTCGTATTGACATTGCCATTTAGCATATAATTTTCCAACTATGTGAATGTGCATTGTGAAATTTTATTTATCTTTGGTGTTTGTTTTGGAACAAAATTTTCATTTCTTATCTTAATAACTGATAAAGTGTGTCTACAGAGCACACATATTTTAGATTCATTTAAACTATCGTATCATTCGAAGTTTTGAACAATTAGTTTATAATTTTTTGAAGAGTTAATAATTACGGATGATAAAATTGATACAAACATTATGACATTTTGCATACTTTTTTTTCGGCGAGGAAAATCTGGTGTTTGAACTCAATTAATGCATATTGACTTCTTGAACAACGATTCTAAACACGGTTCTCACCTCTCCGAACAATGTTCGAATGAGGGTGTTTGATGTTTTTTATGGTTTTTTGGAACAAACTAAATTAATTACACATTCTCCTATTGAGGTTCATTGAGAGCTATAAAACTAAGGCTATGGCTAATTTGTAGATAAAGTTTGACATTGTGTGTCAAATGTTTGGTTGTGGAATCCCTGCTTCGTCTTCGTTTCTCCTATTTATAGCCATCACATGCAACCGCTATGTAACTGCCTCTTGTAACCGCTGCCTCCCATGCTTGGTGCTTGATGCAGCTTGCGTAGATGTCTTAACCGCCTTGCTTGCCTGCTGAGCACTTGGTATATTGATGGATTGATGACTTCGCTTGGTAGGTAGCCGCCTTGTGCCATGGTGGTATCTTGCTTGGCTTCATCTTGATGTTTGATGCCTTAGTGATGCTCATGTCGACCACCCTTGCATGACGTTATGATTGGCACCAGGGTGCTTGGAGGGTTGATGGATGCACATTGACCCCCTTGGGGTTGGCCGACACACTTGACAAGCGTTTGAGCAGGGTCTTGATGCTTATATAATTTTGCCTTTCTTTGTTGCCACGTTCTAAGGGTACTCCCGTTGACTCCCTAGTGCTTGACCCCTTCGACATGACATAGAGATTGACCCCCTTGTGGTGTCATGCATGACCCTCCTTGCATGATGTCATGCTTGACCCCCCCCCCCCCCCCCTCCTTGTGGTTGGGTCTCCATACTTAGCCAAATTTCGCATCCACCATGCCGACTTGGGTGGTTGAATGAATATGGTTAAGTTGGCCTTATAAACCACTACCACTCCTTGAAAATAATCAATGTGGTATCAAGTGATTATTTAGCGGTAAACACTGACATAAATATGAATTTTTAGATGTATTGTAGACACATCTATTGTTAATATCTAAGTAAATATAAAGAGTTTACTTTACTTTTTAACCCTAGCTACCTTCGAACTCACCTTGTTCAGTGGAATATGGAAGAAATTTTTTTGTAGCTATGATAACTCAATCTAAATACAAATTGCTTACTGTTACAAACTAAAACATTTTTGTGTTGCCACTTTGATATCTGAATTTGTTTGGTTATTGCCAAAATTTGGTATGGAGTCACAAACTCACATCTCTACACGAAATGACTTCTTTGTCTTGTTGAGCTCATCATTATTAAATATTCTTCATTTTAACCCAAGTGGCAAGAACTTACTTTTGAACTAACATAATATATAGTAAGAAGATAAGATAAGATAAGAAGATTCTATTCTGTATTTTCTTATTCACACGTTTGCTTTTTTCATAAAAATTGTTTTTTTTTCCAGTTATTTATTTAGTGATTAATATTAATGTGTTTTATTAATGATTTGTTTTCTAGTAACCATTGATTCGAGCATAAATGTACACTTTTATCCCCTTTTCTCTTTGGTGTTTGTGGCATTCGAGCTCCATAAAGTGTGGTTTTACGCTAGGTTTGCTGTGTTTCAATGTGTTTCAGAGTCTAACAGGTGGAACCAACCCCGGAGTCGAAAGTAGGAAGAAATGGCGCAAGGATCAGGCAAAGAGGAGGAAACAACTACTGTTCACGGTCGCCAGGACTGTGAACTGAAGCCACGAACCGCGAACTGAAGGGTGGCCAGAGAGGTTTCATAAGTTACTGACGAGTCAGTTCTTGATCGTAAGACCGTGAACTGAAGCAATGGACCGCAAACTCAACAAATGAAACTGGTGCATTTTGGTTGTGTTCACGGTCCAGGCCAAATGTTCACGGTCGTGAAATGGGACAGCGAACTGGGCTCGTTGATAACGTCATGTTTGCACATGTTTGCTCCCTTATATCTTAACCGTTTTGGCTCGATTTGGTTTCGCCTTGGTCTATTTTACGCTAGGTTGTGCTATTTTTTCATATTTGAGGTCCTAGCGGGTGTCCGAAGGCTTAGGCGCAAGTTTCGGGTCGTTTGGAGATAATTTGGCGATTCTGGAGATAAAATACAGGCAGGCAAGAAGAAAAGCACGACCGTGCTTTTCATCATCTTGCCAGTGCTTTTATTAACGAGAGCCAACCATGAAGAGTGCTGAAGAAAACCAAAATATGGTCAGTCGAGGAGAAAAGCACGACCGTGCTTTGGGAAATACCGCTAGTACTTTACCCAGACTTGCCCGTGTTTCTCCCGTTTTGCACTAAGTGAAACGCGCATTTTGAGCAAAGCATGAAGAACAAACCCTATGAGCTATTTGGAGTGGATTTTTCACCATTGAATCCCATATTGCATCCCCATGAGTGAAGATTGACATTCCAGAGCAGATTATTCCCATCTTTATGAGTATGAATGCTTTGATTTATGTTTTCCTCTCTCTCTATGGAGTAGACCTTTCTCTCACTTGGGTATGAAGAACCCTAGTTCCATGTGTTAGAGATTTGAGTTGTAATGACTTTTGGATGGATATATTGTTTGATTATAATCGATTGAGGTGTGTTTATTGAGTCAATTGAATCCAAATCAACTTCTCTTGATTTCTGCCTCAACCTGTGATAGATAAAATCTGAATAGGTTATTAAAGCTTCTTCAATCGATAGTAGTGAATTGATTATACTAGAGTTAGTCGATTCATTGCTTTGTACTAGAATCTGGTTCCAGTAGTGGAGTTCTGTTTTAATTGCCTTAGCTTTCTATCCCGGTGAAGACTAGTCGTCTGTCGGTTAGTCTGTCTAAGAGGGCTTGGTCAGCTTAAGAGATTCCAAGCTACAGTCAGATCTTCCGCAGTTTAATCAAAAATAAATCAACCTAAGCAAATTACAACTTGGACCTAACTAAGGAGCT